ATATTCAAATTATAGTAGCGTGTTAGAAAAAAAAAAAGTGTTTTGCTCCAAAATGGTAAACCCCAAGGGCAGGTAATTGGTACATTTATTTTTTATTTTTTGCTGGTTTTAGTGTCTTTAAAATAAAATTAAAAAGTGGAGGCCCTTCAACAAAATAGTTTAAAAAAAATTGCCATTTAAAAAAAAAAACTAAATTGTTTATTATGTCAATATTTTAAACAAGTATCTCGTGTGCTCTGTTAGCTTCTAGAGTATGTGATGTGGATGAATCTAAAATACTAGCAGTCAAAACTTTACCTCAACATGTGTAAAATTGACTGAGTTTGACTCATTTTTGTGTTTGCTACAGTCCATTAGCTGTGGTGTTCATAAAGAATCAGACTGACTCCAATTGTTAATCAGTTGTAGATGAACATATAGTATTCTAAAAAAAAAAGTTAAGTCAAGTCCTCTAGATGTATTCAAAAAATAAAAAAAATATAAAAAAATTTGAAATGTTTCGTCTTTCATCTGAAAGACTTCCTCAGACTGAAGAAGTCTTTCGGGTAAAAAATGTTTCTACAATGATTTATCTTTCTTTTTTTTGGAACCCATCCAGAGGACCTGACTTAACTTTTTTAGATATTTCAGTACCACTTTACAGTAAGGCTCGCCTTATAGATGACTAATAAATAGTTTATAGTTACGTTATTAATTCCTCTGTAAACACTTTATAAATCATTAATAACTGCTTATTATGCATTAATTAAGGGTGACAAAAAGAAAACTGACAAATTTCTTGCCAAATAGTGATCCAAATCTGCTACCTACATATTTCATCTAAAGTTGCTATATTAAACATTTCAGACTAAGTATCTTGTGAGCACAATAAGGATCTGTAAACGTATTTCTTCAGCATATAATATTGTACTTTATCACTGTATTATAAGTATCTACAACTAATATTATATCCTAAAAAAAATGTGGTTTACAAATGCTTATTGTGCTCACAAGGTAGTAACTTAGTCTGAAATGTTTAATATAACAACTATCAGTGGCAGATTTAGCAAGAAACTGGTCAGTTTTATCTCTCTCACCCTTAATTAATGCATAATAAACAATTATCAATTATTTATAAAGTGTTTATAGAGGAATTAATAACATAGCTATAAACTATTTATTAGCCATTTATAAGGGGACCCTGATTGTAAAGTGGTACTAAGTAAAATCTATCCCTTGGTTCGTGAGATTTTTTTGTTTGTTTGAGCTCAATATTTGTGCAAACAACTGAGTTTTAGCCATTTTTGTGTTTGCTATAGTTGACTAGCTGAGGCAGCCATCTTGATGTGAGTTAACTCCAAAAGCTAATCAATTGTAGATTTATACCCTCTAATAACTTTTTGAGAGTTTCAGTAAAGTTTGTCCAGTGGTTCATGAGATTATTTTTAACAGACCAACAAATAAAGACGCACACCAGAGACTGAGTCAATTCTATGATTGCCCATGTTTTTAGGCATGGACAATATTATAGCTGTAAGTTTAAGCTTTCAGGCCAGGTCTGTTCTCAGTGTTGTGCAGAAAACTGACTGTAATGACTTGAGGCAGTTATACAAGAATCAAAGATTACAATCATCATTTGAAATTATGTTAAAACAACTGGAATAATAGTTTGTGTTCATGCACAGAACGCTGCGTTTAAGAACTGAACACACCTTTGTTGTATTTTTATGCTGGAGTGCACTATGGATCTAGCAGCTGCACTCAGCAGCAGCCAGAAATGGGCTTCGACAGTCATTAAAGGGCGGAGCCACCAGTGAGTTAAATGTTTTAATGCATGACAGGGGCGATTCTAGAATCTGACCTTTAGGGGTGCTCAGCCCCCATTGGTGAAAATGGCTCTTGTCTTGAACAGTGCAGTGGTCACTGGCGTGTGTGTGTGTGTGTGTGTGTGGGGGGGGGGGGGGGGTGTTAGATGCACTGGTGCCTACATCTATCATATGCCTACTACTTGAATAAAGTAGATACCATTTCCTGCATTATGGTGTATTTTAACGGGTTTTTGAAACATCTAAGTTTGCCTACATTTGTAAACACTTGATTCAATAACCATTTTAGAGGGCATGGCATAATAAGAAACCTAACATGCATCACACATGCTCATGCATCCTAACCCCCCCCCCACACACACCCCCCACCCCACCCCCCACCGCACCCTCTCTGCACTAAGATTCTTGAGACGCAGTGCTCCTCTTTGCATTACACAACCTAATAAACGCTTTGTACAAAATCAGTTTAGTGTTAACTGATCATAACAACAAAAACTAAACTCATGAAAACATAAGTTGCAACATGTAACACATAACTCAAAGCACAACTAGTTTTAAGCATTAACCTTTAATTTAGTCATTAAGCTTACAATGTAATTATGACAGAAAATGGAGGACTTACTTGCAGTTACTTTCATACAAATGAACATGTGGTACTTTCTGTTCATTACTGCCGTATTCAGCTGTTCATGAGGTCGACCGCAGGACTTTATCATCTTTTCACATTTTTCCAGTCTGCATTTAGTTTGTGAAATGTAATAAACTGTACTCCACCCTCTAAACACTCAGGATAACACTGTCTGAATTACATGTTCTCCACTGACAACATTTAATCATTTTCTGACGAATTTTCACAAAATCCATATGACCGCAAAGTGTCCATAAAGCAAAACCCTGACAATGTTGTTGGAGGAAAAGGGGGTGGAGCTCCTGCAGGTAAGTGGCGTTTACCTTCAGGACAAATTGAGGTAGGTCACTGATTGGTCAGCTGCTGACTGGATACTGCTACTGGATTGATTGACAGCTAGCACTGACGATCCGACTCATGCAAAATAAAAAATACAGATTTTACGGGCTGATTTAAGAGTGTCATACTTTATTCCATTTTTTTTCCCCAAATTAATTCTATATTTTGGTGAATCTAAGTCTTGAGAACTCAGCTTCCTTACAAAATCCTAAAGGTGGTTTCTTAATTTTTATGGGGTACCGAGTTAAAATTTAGGGGTGCTCACCCCCAAAAAGAGGCTAAAATCACAACTGATGCATGATACATTTCAATGCACTGGAGCAAAAAATAAATAAATGAAAAAAGTCCATCATAACAGATGATTGTTTGTCTATCTTCCTGTGATGGACCTGCAACCTGGGTGTCCTCTGCCTCTCACACAGTGACAGCTGGATATGGGCACCAGTGACCCCCCATGACCCAAAAAGGAGGAAGTGGGTAAAGCTGATGGATGGATGGATGGATGGATGGATGGATGGATGGATGGATGGATGGATAGATTTGTTTTCAAGAAAGCAGAATTAGGGAGTTTTTTTCTTCTTCTCATGCACAGCTTAGAAAATCAGCGAGGGTGAGATTTGACTTGGAAGTCGGTCCTTCATGAAGACCTAATGAATCTATGAACTTTTGTCTCATAAAAGTCAATCGGGTTCACCGTAGCTACAGTAAGTGCAATGTGACATTTGAAAAAGATACAACATCCATCACAGTTGTTTTATGATGAGTTCTTAATAAATCAGCAAAGTAACCTGCAGCCAAAAGGTCCCAGACGAAGTTTGAAGACATTTTAACAAATATTTACACAAAGTTAATACACCAGATATAACCATCCATTAGCCATATACTCATTATCGGCCACTTCTTCCAGAGTCCAGCAGCATCTGGAGCAGGCCCTGACATTGTCTCTCCACACCACCTCAACTGGTTTCTCTTGATGTGGAGGAGCAGCAGCTCCACTCCATATGCTATTATTATTATTATGGGAATAAACATATAGGCACTACATATAGTTAGTTCTAGGATTTTACTAGCAAGAGTCTGCCAGTGAAGCCGTGAACCCTTACATTGTATTCAAGATGTTCAGTCACTCACTCTTTCATTTTCACTATGGTGTAGACCAAACGGGTCACATGGACAGCCTGGTATTCTGCATTTCAAACACTTCTTGAATGCAGCGGTACTTAATAAACATAGGCTGAGTATTCACAGCTGTGTCACACAAATATGCTGCCAGGATATAATGGAACACATGCCTGAATCTGAGGTGCTTTACTTCAACATTTTACTAATCTGAGCTGGTAAAACCTGACATCGTTATTGTCTCCATAACACTGACATGAAATGTGATTACTTGTTACACCTTTTGTATTTATTCTATCTATTTACACAAGCAAGGACCACAGTTGCAACCATTTCACAACATTCAACATACAGTAGATGATGAATTAATATAATCGTTTGATGTTTTACACTACAGCATATTTTTGTTCTAATGATGCACTTGGTCAGTTAAATATAGCTGAAATTCACATTTTTCTAATAACCTTTACAGTCCTGCAGCTCAAGCAGTGGAGGAGAGAAGCCGCCTAACAATAGAGAGGCATTTGTCAACAAACCTGAATATCACAATAATGAGCTGTGGGTGTTAGCATTAGCAAGCTATGTTGGCTCAGAACACAATGCATGATGGTCTATTTTAACTAATGCAGTCCACACTTTCTATATGTGATTCCAAATGTATGACAGGTTTCTGGTAGATGAAGCGTTACAGTAAAGAGTTCTGGCTGATTAGTGAATCTGTTTTCCTCAAGTTTTGAAACATTAGCTTCTTCTAGTTTTAATACGTTTCTGTTCAGTGCCCTGAAATGACTTCTGTTGTGACTTGGCGTTACATGAGTAAACTGAATTGAATTGAAACTGAATATTTCAATCATAGTGAATTTGAAAAAAAAAAAAAGTTTTTAAAACCTACTTTCACTCATCCCAATGTACAGATTTCTTTATAAATTTATTTTATTTTAAAATATAACAGTGAACAATCAAGTTGTGTTGTATTGGATTTACTTTTCATTTAGTTGGATTATCATTAAGACCACAAAAGAAACCCAAAATAAAGGGCTAAGAACGTTTTCTTGATTCAAGTATGTATTAATGTATTATTGTTTATGCCTTTTTTAGGGTGTAGCTGCAGAAAGATGGATATCTTCATGGACCGGAGTTTTGCTGTGACTGCTAACAGCAGCCACGAAACAGGAGGACCTGAAGGCAACAAAGGCCAAGGACTCAACCACAGTGACCCGTTGGACATGTTTATAGGCATGGAGCTTCTTCAGAGATTCAAACCTCTCTTTCTGCCGCTCTATTGCCTCGTAGTGGTCGTCGCCGGCGTTGGAAACACGTTCTTGTTGGCTTGCATCTTAGCCGACAAGAAACTCCACAACGTCACTAACTTCTTCATCGGTAACCTAGCGGCGGGCGACCTGCTGATGTGTTTGAGTTGTGTTCCACTGACCGTGTCTTACGCCTTCGATAGTCACGGCTGGGCTTTTGGGAGACCTCTCTGCCACTTGGTCCCCTTGCTGCAGTGTGCCACAGTGTTCGCCTCAGTGCTTTCACTCACTGCCATTGCAGTTGATCGCTACATTGTTGTAGGTACGTGACCTAACATGATATCTTAGGGCATTTTAAATTTGTTTTAATTGTACATTGTTGTCTATTTTATCTTTATTTTTTATCTTTTCATAAAATTACTATTCTTGAGTTGGAGAAACGCACAAGAATTCCAATGTGCTTATACTAATGTATCTGTGCAAATGGCAATAAAATCTATTTTATTCTATCTACTGCATTAGACATGCCACACATCGTATTTTAACATATTCCTAAATTGCATCAGTAATGGAATGCCTGCACAATATATTGAAAATGTATTGTCACTGAGCAATGAATATGCAGGACTGCAATAAACAGTTAGCATTTGCAGTCCAGGTGTGACGAAGTGAAGATTCAATGTACAAGTATTTTCTGGCTTCCTTCCTTAGATAAGTTTTACTAATTGGCTTTTGTATGTATGGGAATGTTTTTGTACAGCACCTTGTGACAACTTCTGTTGTGACTTGGCGCTAAATAAACTGAACTGAACTGAATATATTCACATACTGTATGCCAGTAATGTATTTGGTCAATTTGATGGACGTGCACTGCTCTTGAAGCTCACTTCCAATTAGAAAATTAGAGACAGAAATGCTAAAACTCACAGCTGAGATCATAACGACTAAAGAGGAGTGAAGAAGATAATGCTCAATGGGATTTACCGGTCTAAATAAAGGTTGAATGAATATGAGGTCATCATTAGTCGTCAATACTGTGGCAAAGACTCTTTTTCTAACTGTGCTGCCATAAAGGAGAGCATTATTTACATCAATCATTCATTTAATTGGGGTAGAGTCACCACTGTGAGTTGCAAAACACTAGAGGACCTTGAGAAAAACGTCAGAAAGCAAATTTAATAATAAAAAAAAAATCCTGAATAAATAAAAATAAAATAAAATAAAGATCCCTGGTTCAATCCTGGGTTTCGGCATCAAGCTGTTAAAGTGTGGGCTGATGCGGGCCCCTCGCTACTGTAGCTACCTGTTGCTAGCTGTGGGCCTCAGGCCTCCTCTTGGACCCCAGGTCCGCCTCCAGCTCACGCTGTCCCCGGCTTGGATCTCCATCAGAAGCGGCAACTCACACTATCAATAAATCAAGGAAACGTGAATTAAGTTTTACCAATTGTATTAAATCAAGACAGGAGAAGGTTACAATTTACAGCGCTGACCAGCCTGATACATGACACGAGATCAGGAACCGGAAGGGCCGGATGTCCAGTGGCATTACAGAGTTAAAGGGCCTAGACTCCTCCTTCTCAGAAGGAAAGCACAGCCTATCACTGGATAAGGGGGAGGGACTAAGTGTGGTCTCATTGGACCTTATATGATTTAACGTGAAAGGAAAAATGATACTGGTGCAGAAAAAGCCTTTCTTCGTGATGAGCGAGCCAATAAAGAAATAAATAAATAAAAACGCTATTCCTTGACAGATATTGAATCCCTGGAAGACTCTTCATAGAGTTGCTGGCTTAAACCAGTCAGAACCGGGTCATAAATACATTATAAACCTGTCTCTGAGTAGATAAAAAATACCAGGGTCAGTCTAGATGAAAATACTAACAAAATAAAATCTATAGAATGGAACAAGGTAAAATGGTTGTTTAGGCTGTTTGTGTCTCTTTAAATTGACCTTTTAGCACAACTTGGGTAAAATTAGTTAAATTTGCTGTGAATCGTGCAGAATCTTTTTTATTTATTTATTTTACAACTAAACATGCACATTATAAATTACATTTATTTACAGTGTGCTTGTAAAATACACTATGTTTTTACATACTGTTTGTTTCCTTGTCCCAGCCCACCCAGTGAGACAGAGGATTTCTGTGTGGGGTTGTGGTGCAGTGACTCTTGGTGTGTGGCTTTTATCCCTGGCCTTGGCGGCGCCTCCGTCTCTCTACACGCGCTACCTGGACCTGCGTCCCAGCGGCATTGACCTGGTGGTGTGCGAGGAATTCTGGCCCGACAGTGGCAATCTACGTCTATTATACTCCTGCTTCATTCTGATAACCTCCTACATGATCCCACTGCTGTCAGTCAGCGTGTCCTACTGTGCCATCACGGTCAGCCTCAAACGGTATTCCATACCTGGGGAGCCTTCCAGCAGTCAACAGCGCTGGAGCCAAAGAAGGAAGAAGACCTTCTCTCTGCTGGTGGCTTCAGTGCTGGCCTTCGCTCTGTGCTGGCTGCCTCTCCAGGTGACTGTCAAATCAGGCTATTAGTTAGTTTAAGCTGGACAGCATTTGCTATTAAAATGGTTATGTTTATTTTGGAGGATTTAGAAATAAAGTTTACATTTCACTTATTTTCTAACCTACCAGCAAATGAAGCTGTTAAAAGCTTTGAGGTGACATGAAATGAAACAATTGCCGCAGGCAATAAGATTACATTTTATGCATCATTTAACACGAATGGCCATCATCAAGTCATAAATAGTGTTTGTAAAAACTAACACTATTTCCTCACTAATCCATGAAAGAGGCTAAAGGATTAGTATGTTATCATCATATTGACAGAGGAAGAGGTTGAGGTTAATACTATGATGTGCTCACAGGGAATGAACCGTGTTTTTTTTTTTTTCCTTTCACAGCTTGCATGCACATTACAGATCATAGACGAGCCTCATTTCACACCTGTGCAAAGTGTTGCATGTATTTTTTTCTAAAATCTATTGCACTTCTTTGCACAACAGACATGTCCTGGTTTTTATATACAGTATACCACCCTATCATCCTTTACATTACAAATTAGGCAAAATGTAAAGGAAGATTTTGGCCTAATTAGACTTGTTAAGGGTGAAGGTGAAAATATTTAAGCTACAAAAGTCAAAATTCATGATTTCTCACAACAAACAAGATGTGTCTTTTAAATTCCAATTCATTTGATTGTTTTTTTTATGACACGGGGACAAAACTATCTTGGTCTGTTTTCAGTGCAGTTGTTCTGATGTCGTTCTGCAGGTGCTGAACCTGTTGCTGGACCTGGACCCAGACTTTCTCATAATAGGGAAACGCTACATAAACGTCCTCCAAGTTTGCTGCCATTTAGTGGCCATGAGCTCCGCCTGTTACAACCCCTTCATCTATGCTTCACTGCACAGCAAGGTGCGCATGCATCTGAAAGGCTACCTCTGCCCATGCCGCAACCGTCAGAGGGAAGCCGTGGAGAGACCGTCATCCAGGAGCTGAACTTTTGCTAGGACCTCTGCCACAACTCCTGACATGCAGACCTCATCCTGTGCCCACAGAATTCATCGTGACCCGTCTGTAATGTGATAAAAATAAAACAAAACAGTTGCTAAATGTTCCTTTAAACCATTTTATCTTCATGCTTCTGCAGCATTTTGTGACTTCAAGACATTGTGTCTTCTCTCGATACTCACCAGACGAATTGCTAATGGATTCTTATCTAGGCAAGGGAGCAGATTTATACCGCATGGTGAAAAGGACCAAGATGAGGCATCTATTTGGATCTTTGTGGTGTTCTTGGACAGTAAAGCTACTTTTGTAAACATTAGGCAGAAGCTTTAGAAAGCCCGAGGCACAAAGCATCCCTGAGGGTGAGCCGCCGGGCAGGAGATGCATGCAGGAGCCTGAGACCAAAGGGTCACAATGGGTATAAGACCTGATTATACCTGCAGTAAACACTTCAGAGAGCTGGAGGAATAATGACCTCCTCTCACCAGATATGGATTACAGGCTAACAAGAAGGGGGAAAGTGCAAATGGTGTGATTGTTTTCCTTTCGTACATGGTAAATGTGCTTTATGTTCTGTATCTCCATCACTTTACACATGAAGTGGCTGGCTTCCTTTATTTTACAGTGTTGTACTTAATATCATTTGGCTTACACTCAAATCTGTGAAAAACAAGACAAAACATGTTAACTTTTTTGTGTATATATATTTATATTTGTCCTGAACTTGAAAGAAAATGAGTTGAAAACATCAAAATGTGAAAGATGAACGATGAAATTTAGTGCTCGTTACAACTTGTAATGCAACAATTTTAAATAGAATCAACACAGATTTCATAAATATGCTTCCTGACAAACAGATAATGCTTCGGATTTGCTTCGAAGAACAAGAATGACTTAATGCACAACTTAATATTCAAAGCATGGCCAGTGCAGTCACTCATAAGCACCGCTGCACTGACAAGACTCTCACAGAACTCACACCAAGTAAGAATAATGGTTTAAAGATTGACGAGTCACTCGTAGACCCACAAATGGGATGATATGAAGAAAAGTATTAAAAATTTTAATTCATGTGATCTAGTAATCTAGATAGTTGCAGTTTTCAGTAAGGTTTATGATTAAAAAAACAACAAATTGTGTTTCTATTGTTGAATTTTTCGGTTCACAAACAAAGCATCTAAGAAAGTTTGATTTTCTGACAACAATCCCAGTAAGTCCAATAAAAAAAATTTAAAAAAATGCCACAACATAATTTGTTTGGTTGAGTTAATGGTGTAAAAGCAAAATTACCCTGCATAGCTTCACTGCATTTGTAGCTCCCTGGCCACTGGCGCTGCTGCCAGCTCCCACATTTTAACAATCAAATGACTGCTGCTTGTTGCCTGGCAGCTGGGTTGTCATGTTTGTATCACTCTTTCAGAGGCAGAATTAAACTCTTATGTTATATTTTGGTACGGATGCTCTTACAGAATAATATATTTGGTTCGCAGGGAAAAAGCTGTTGTTTTAATAGTTTTAGCTGTCATATTTCACCCTGTTTCTCATGCTTAATGTCATGCAAACTAAAGATGCTTTGTAGAACAATGTGAGGAGGAGTTTCACAAACTGTACATAAAAATGTATCCACAGCCATATGAAAGAAGAGGAACTGAGGACATCCATCATTTGTTAGATGTTTTTTTAATGCAGTTCTTTTCCAGTTTATTCATTGTTTATATATTGCCAAGGCTGCACGGTGATGTTACAAGTTCAAGTCTCCATTTGAGAGGAATTTGTTTGTGCTCTGAGGGCTCTGGTTTCCTGCCACCGTCCAAAAATATGCATGTTAGGTTATTTGATATTTTAAGGATTGTGTACAATCTTATTTTACAAAATTTGACATATTTCACTGCATTAGCTCTTCAAGTCTGCATGCAAATGATTTTGTTGTTGTGGGGGGGGGGGGGATTTTTTTTAAATACCTCTTTTTTGGTGAATCTGTGTGGGCCCGACGTACGGAGTTTGTGAGAAACGATGATGGAGTAGACTATATTGTGCACAACCAATATTGCATTTTGCTCTTGGAACAATAAACAACAACAAAGTTCCCTATAAAGTTTTTTTTTTTATCTGTCCTGTCTTATTCTGATCCTTTCGTCATTAAAATGTGATCATGTGCTGAAAAGGTAAATAAATGAAGAGACAACGTAAACAGGAGCAAAGGAGAAAAATGAGCTACAGGTTTTTTAATAAGTCGTTGATGTTTTTTGATCAGGATGCGCCTTTTTCACAGTTTTAGCTGAAAGTCCAGCGCATCATCCAGATGAAAGGGTTTGTTTAACGTATGGAAAGAAAAGTGTTACACTGTTATGCTAAGTTGTGTAGACTCCTCATGTGACCCTAAGAGTGAGTGTGCACGTTGTCTGTCTTAAGATAAGATAAGATAAGATAAGATAAGATAAGATAGAACTTATTGATCCTGCAGGAAATTGTTGTGCCAGAGTTTCAGTACAAAGGAACATACACAAGGAATCACACAAGATATAAAAATAACAGAGTATATATAAAAAATAAAAAAAAAACAATAATTAAGTTCTAAAACAGGTCAGGTGCAGACAGAAACATTGAAGAGTTTATTGTAGTACAGGATTATTTTTTATTGTCCTATGTGTAGAAAAGGGGGAGGAGTTGAAAAGTTTGATAGCTACAGGGAGGAAGGACTTCCTGGTCTGTGGAGCACCTCGGTGGTCTCAGTCTAGGACTGAAGGTGCTGCAGTAAGAGTCCAGTGCGTCATGCAGTGGGTGTGACGTGTTGTTCAGGATCTGGAGCAGTTTCCTCAGCATCCTCTGCTCAGACACATCCGTCAGAGACTGCAGCTCCACTCCGAGGACTGAGCCAACTCTCCTGATGAGCTTATTGAGTCTGTTGGCATCAGCTTGGCATCAGGCTTGTGTGTGTCTTTGGTCCCTTAATCCTTTAATGCACACAAAGTGTTACGACAACAGACTCAAGATAAATCTTGCAAGACGTAGAAACACCCCCCCCCCCCCCCCCAAAAAAAAATGTAGCTGGTGTTGGTTTTAGCATATGTTCAACGTATAAAGCAATGAGGGTGCACATATCAAGCTGCAGCATTAAAGGTTTACCACAAATATTAACGTTGTGAAACAATTATCAAGAACTCCTTTTTCTCATCAGTTGCTTGCATGTGGCTGAGAGACGCACGCACAGCAGGCAAAGTTCATTTTTGCAAAACATCTGTATTTGTAGGGAATGGGTCTTATTGCACTAACCTTAACAAGAGTTAACAGCCTGTATGTGGAAACTACATTCTTCCCAACAGCTCTCCTCTAAACACAGGTGGTGTTCTGATTTCCTTAAACCCTTTTATGAGTCAAAGCATTGCAGACACTTAAATCCTGAAGTTCTCTCACGCAGACATAGAACAAGGGTTAAACATTATTTCACAATATTTTGTCGAAGGATCAACCTCATCCATAATTTATCTTTGTGCGTGTGCCGCACAGGTGAACCTAATAACTTAGAATGATGAAAAACTTCAGAGGAGAAATTGTTTCTTTTTTGTTGGAAGAATAACTGTGAGAGGAGTAGAACATGTCGTAACAAGTGCAAATATTAGGAAAGCAACAGAGGAGGAACAGACATGAATGTCATGACTCATGCATGCTGGTATAAGCCGTGCTTTTTTCTTTTACATTTGTTCAAGTCCAAGTTCCTTTATTGTCATTCGCGTCACATGTGGTACATGAGGTGGAATGAAATTATGTACTCAGGGTCCCAGTTACACATAAAAATAGCCAAATTATTAAGTATAAAAAGAAACAACATACAAGTCTCTAAGATATACACTAAGATATACGCTAAACAAATGCTAAACCATATGCTTTCTTTCGGCTGCTCCCTTCTTCAGGGGTCTCCACAGTGAACTCAGTTGCACGAAGACTTGGCAATTGTTTTTACAATGGATATCCTTCCTGACGCAACCACAGACCACTGAGCTACCACAGCCCTCTGTGTGGAGCAGAGAGCTGCCATCTAGAGCATCCAGGGGAGCAGACGGTGGGGGTAAGGGCCTTGCTCAAGGGCCCAGAGTGGGGCAAATGAGGGTGGAGGAAGGACGCTAAGCACTAATAATGTAAAATAATACTTTATATTAAACAGCAGCCTGAACATGAGTCTGTAGTGAGTAGATGGATATGAATGAATACAGCAGCATGAGATCAGCAGCATGGATAATCAGCATGGATCAGCATGGATAATAATAAGTTGATGCTGTCATGTAAGTTGACTCCTGTTAAGCATTAATGTAAGTCAACTAAACTGATTCAGATCTATGTGGTTCTGTGGAAACGTGAACAATTATTTTCTTACTTGTTGTAAGTAACTCTTTGAACAACTTACTTTCAAGTAATAGTTTCATTCTAAATAGACTGGTAAGCTAAAGTGTATAACTGTCATATTACTGCACGTTAATTTTTATAAATCTTAACATCATCATCAGTTTCACACAAAAGTGCTGTAGTTCATCTGGTGCAGTCCAGCACACTTCCTGCAAGAACATGCTAATGTTTTGGCCAGAATAGCAGACGAATGCAAAACTGACATTACTGTACAATGAATGGCCCAAAAATCTTTAAGATTGTAATTATTTTAAGACTGCACTCTGGCCTTGACCTCATTTGGGCTAGCTGTTTTCTTTGTCTAGTCAGAATTAAACTCTCTTTCTGCTAACAGTTCTATTAAAGCATTATCCAAAACAGGTAAGATATTAAAGGTTTATAATATTTCTACTGAACCCAACTTTAAAATAATCTGATCTGTTTCTTTTAGCATACTGGAGCCTGGCATGAAATGAGCTTGTAAAATTATTTGAGTTTTGAGTTACACTAAAATCCCATACATCATGGAGTAGATATTTAGATATTTAAAATATGCATAACTTGTAAAAATCAATAAACAGCAAAGGTTACTGAATATTCTCAGTTAAAGT